TGTAAAATGAACAGTAAGAAGTTAAATTTATTTAAACCCTCTTCCCTTACTAACATTCTCTATGCATAAAATCTAGAGAAGCATTATTTATCTGATTTTTTTTTTTACAAAAGGTAGTATACGTTAAATAGAAAGTTAAAACCTGCAATATTATTAATAGCTGTCACACCATTGCTAAGACAAAAGTAGCTTTCTTTTTTGAAGCAGTAGTAGGTAGAAGTGAAGAAGATGTTAGCACAGTGAATTCATCCAACACTAAGGCCTTCCCAAAATAATCTTTCATCATCTCCCCTCAAAATATAACTGAAACAGCCCAAACACAATATAGGTATCAGGATGAAACTTTAGGATTTGGGTAGAAGCCATTATTTTAACAAATGCCAGACATTTTAATTTATTTTTTTTATTAAGTACGTACTTTTTTTTTTTAAGAGTGTGTGCAGAAAAGGAAACAAAGAGAACATGCAATCCAGAGCAGCATTTCTAAAGCTTAAGAATCTACTAATTTTAGAAAACCATTCTGAGCTGGCTTGCACTCAATGAAACCCCACTGATTTGGCTCACTATAGAAATCCATTCACGCTGGCTACTTTTAACCTTTTTTTCCCTCTCCATGAATTTCAATTCTTTGTAAGATCCATGAGATGTCTGTGCATTGAGCAGTGTTAAGACCATCATTAAAAAATAATGTTCTTCTTAGCTACTGTTCCATTTCTGCTTAGCAAATAAATCTTTCCCCTCTCTTGAAAATGGACAGCCAGAACACTAGCACTACACTTGACTCATAGTCAGAGCAGAGTAATTGTCGCCCAGCACTGACTCAGCAGAATGCCTCTATGAGAAGTGTCCTTTCCCAGCTACAGCTTACATTCCTTAAGGCTGGCCAGCAGAGATCCTGGGGCTGAGGGCAAGTCAGTGGGCAGATGCCCAAAGACTTCCCAGAAGCTTTAATGGAGGTTTACAGTATGCACCAGTACAGGCAGTCCCTTGCTAGGTTACATGCAAACATTTGACAAGCAAAGATGTGAAAAGCCTGCAGCACTGAGGATTGTGGATGGGACGTAATGCAGTTCCAATGTGTGGCCAAGCGCCTAGGACAGAAACCGTGCCACCTCTGCCAAGTCAACATACCCTGAAGAGGCTCTCTGCCCTGACAAATGGAAAGTGTGGGCTCAGAGAATCACTTCTGTAGGGATGCTGTGGAGGACTGTAGGATGCATTGTACCTGGTGAGGATGCCATCCCTCTGCAACTCCCTGCACAAGCAGCAGCACCCTTGCATCTCTCTGACCTGGGCATCCCTAGGCCTTATGGCTGCCTCCAGGACTAAGGGTTGCTTGAAGCTGCTTCACATGTTCACCCCCACAGTTTGCAACACATGTACATTTAGGTATGCACACTAAGCAGGAAAAAAATATTATATACGATCAGACTGAGAAAATACTTTTTTTCCACTGCAGTTTGAAGAATACTCTGCATAGCATGTTTTCATGACACCATAGAGAGGAAAAAATAAATCCAGTTGAAAATAATGGATAAAATGTAAACTATGCCTATACAAATGTCCTTCCTTTTTAAGGTTCACTTTCAAGATTCCTCGTGAATGTAAGGGAATTTCAGCTGGGCACAATGAAAATTCCTCACATACCATGTGCACGTTTTCTGGATGAAACAGCTATTTTCCCACACACTTCTGTAGCAAAGTTACTAACATACTCATTCTGCTTGGAAATAATCATAATAGTATTTCTTCACATATGATTTTAGAGTCTTTAAAAAAAATCTGAGGTAAAATGCATGCTTTTAATTGCATACACATGTCTTTTCTGAAATGTTAGACAACCAGTTAAAGGTAAAAAAAAAGTGAGATTAGAAGTTGCAAATTATACATATGGATTTTAACATTAGCAAATCTGCTGTGAAAAGTCATGCACATGCTCTATTTGTGAGAGCAAATCTAAAAACAACTCCCAAACCCAATGATACGATGCAACCGTATCTGGTGGGATATTTTGGGGTACAGGCATGCAGTCAAATTATTTGATTTTTTTTTTTTTTTGCATTTTATTGAAGAAGACCAGTATAAGGAGTTTTATTTAAGAAGTTTGGAACATTCTATTCTGAGGCTAGATATTTTTTCCCCTATTTTTATGAGCATCTTTGACGCACAATAGATTGAAAACTAATATGAACTAATTCATCTTTAATATCTCCCATATTAAGCACTATAGGAAGCAGAGCCCTTCTGCAATCGCTGATGAAATTCCTTGCGAATTACAGGCTGCTTTCTCATTTAAGGTCATGTGCTGAGGGAACACAGCTCCCTAAATAGTGAGGCTTTTGTTGGGCTATTCATCTCCTGCAGCAGCTCTTCTGAAAAACATGGTCAAAGGCAGAGGGAAACAAGTACCAAGCAAAGCCAGAGTTTCTCATGGATAGATTCCATCCCTAGAAACAAAGCCTCCTCGCAAGGATCCTGCTCTGTATAAGCTCCCCATGGGCCTTCTAAAAGCCTTGACCTGTCACATTAACAGCAGCTTATTCTTTTTCACTAGACTCCTCCACAATACAGCAAAGCCATGAGGGAGATGCAAGAAAAGCTTTTTTTCCTTAGTGGGGTTTTTTTTGTTTTCTTAGAGAACTTTTTTTTTTTAATATACTTTTTAAAAAAAAAAAAAAAAAAAAAACCTCTGGACAGCAAGCAGCTTACAGTGCTATTTGTCCTGTGAACCTGCTCTATTTGACCAGAGCATTTTAAACATTCAGGCAGGTGTCTGATAAGGAAATACTGGCCGTGCCCCTTCACAGGCAGCACTGCAGAACAAAAGTAGTAGCAGTGTGACGTGTGTGGAAGATGGGTGTTATAGCTCAAATCTCTCTCCTACAAAGAAAGCAGCTCCATTGTCCTCTACCCACATAATTTAACTCTCTCTAACACTGAAAAGTAATTTCTAAAGAAAAAACATTGGTTATCACTTCAGTAAAGGCTTTCAGGGCCGTTATGGGAAATACATCTGAGGAATATTTTGCCAATTAAAAAAAAATTCACACTGTTTAAAGAACATAATCACATCTTTTGTTATATATTCAAATATTCTCTGGTGAGCTTTTAAATTTGTTTTGTTTTGTTAAGTGAAACAAATACCCAGATACTTTGTTTCCTACTCACTTAAAAATACTAATGAATTGTGACAAGGCCAACAGAAGGCAAACCTTTATTGATCTTTTATCTTAATCCCACTGAAACCAATGGTTTGGAATCTGTTAAATTACATAGGAGGAAATGGTTCTATGTATTTGAAAAGAAAATGAAAGTTTACGGTATACTGATAGATTAGACAATCTATAATTAAGATATTATAATGGAGCTATCACTAAAATCAGCGTCAGTGTAAGGAAACCCCCTTTTCTTCAAATGAGACACTTTTACCTATATGGTAGAAAGCTCAAGGACTACTTTGAAGACTGCTTTAGAAATATTTAGTAGTCCAGTTTACTTTTTTTTTTTTTTTTAAGCCCTAAAATCTAAAGCTTTTATGACAATTTAATGGAAAGCCCACTGTCTCTATACTGCTTTTCTAGATCCCTCACTTGATCCATGACCCAATAAATGAATTGTGAACACTCACGTAACACCTGTCATTTGTTCTGCTTCCTGCCTTTCTTTACTCTATACTCCTCAGATTTCAGAGGGAATTTACAGAAGAAATACAGAATAGGGAATATGAAAATATACTAATTTCTAAAAACTGCATATAAAGAGATCCTGCTTTGTTTCTGTAACTCTTATCTATAACTAGTACTGTATTTAGTTATCAGTAATTAACATTGCTAAAATGATATACTGCATACTCTCTTCTGAGATTATTATTTTTTTTTTTTTTACCAGCAAGATTTTAGAGCATTAGAGGTTGATCAGATTTTCGTAAGGTTTTGGCAGCATAAAGCTAGTAAATCAGACTGTTGGCTGACTCTTCCAACTAGCATATAACAACCACATGTCTTCTATCACTATAACTGAGCTCAGGGGTAAGAAAGTGCTTCTGCTTGACCTTGTAGCTCAGATTCTGCTCTCAGATAAGCTCATATTGGTCCTGCTGTGTTTAGAAGAGTTTTGCCCATTTCTGGTGTCAGAATCTGATCCCACATTTATGAAGTCAATGAATATGTTCTCTTGAGAAAAAGACTCCTGGTTTCCTCACCTTCTTCCAAATTGCAGGTTCTTTTCCACATTACACTGGACACATTTCTCAATGCACAGCCACAAAAATTGAGGCGGTTATGTAAGGATTCATGAAATCTAATCCTGTCAACTAATTTACGTAGGAAAAAGAGCATGTGTGTAAAATCTGACTTATGTCTGACATAATACAAAAAGAACAAAGCCCATATTTGGCAAAACACTGGCATGTAGCTAGCAAACCAAACTCAACTCTGCTGTAATTTATCTGCTTGCAACGGAGCTGATGCTGCTGACTCCAAAGGTGAAGTCAACTGGCAATGATCATCATGTAGACTATGCTGTTGGACAGAGGAGCTCTCTCATTCTCTGTAACCACTCAGTTTCCAAATACTTTAAAATTCATATATAAATTTTTATGTTGAAACAAGTAAAAAAAGCTAAAAATTACTCTTTATCAGATATAAATTATCTTTAAGTGACATCATAACATATAAAAAAAGTATAAAAAATTTATCTGTGCTCACACACGTGTGTGTATACACACACAACTATACATCCACACCAGTAACTAAGCACTCATTTAATCCAGTAATTTTTATTAAGTAATGAGGAGAAGCTAAAAGGCTAAAGCAGACAAATCAGGAGAATTTAGTCAACAGAGAGAACTGTAAAAGTACCTTTTACTCTATTTAAGAGTGTTTGAATAGTTCTATCTATTGCTATAATATACAGCAATGTTAATATTTCAGTCACAGCTTTTGTCCATTCCCACAGAGCACATCAGTACTAGCTACATGTAGAGTGAGATCAGTGCTTTGTCAGACCAGTTCATATCTACATTCTAGGCCGTAACTAAATAAATTAGAATATGCTAAAGTGCTACATCAACACTAATGTTCCTGAACAGTAGAAATGCACATTTCTCTTTCAAAAATAAAAAAAATACAGCAGCTATAGTTTCAAACATAGTCACGTTACGTGAATATGCTTACATGCCACTTCGTTACAGTATTCAACAAAACGCACAACAAAAAACCATACAGCAACAGTCAAGACTCTGTCCCAGTACATACAAAAGGTAACTTTTTAAAAGTCAGGCATGATGGAAATAGACATTTGCAGAAAACACAGTGTCTTCAGAATTCACACTTGAAAGTTTCGTTTAATCGTAACTTGCTGATGTCGATATTTATTTCCTCTGGTTTGTCAGGTCTGTATGTTACTGTTCTTGTACAAACAGTAGGCAAAAACATCTTATCCTTGGAGGAGAAGATACAATTTTTATCAACAATTAGCTAACTTTTATGTACAAGAAAAACACCACTGAATATGATGGCTCTGAAATCAATTACCTTCTTTGTTGCAGATACTCTGTAATCAGCCGAAGATTTAACTTTATTGCTACTCCCCTGCAGAATTATCTGCCTGATGATAAGGACAACAAGCAACCCGATCAGAAAGGTAACTATAAAGATAATGGAAAAGACTCTAAAGTAGCTTCGTCCAGAGAAACATTCTGCAAGGAGAGGAAAACACATGTAAAGCCTAACATATGGAATAGGCGCATCCCTCAAACACAAGTTACATCTACCACTGCACAGGAATGTTGCATAAATGTAACAGGAGCCTGATAGAAGTTAAGGGAAAGTAACATAAGGGAAGTTAAGGGAAAGTAACATAAGGGAAGTTAAGGGGAAAATTTGCCATATGCAAGCTTCTAAAGTGGGGCATATCACAAAGGCAACTCCGATTAAGATCCACTATAGAAAACTGGTGAAACTATTATGCCTTTAACTTACAGAAGTCTCAGGCTTCACTGTGTTGGCCACCATAAATTCTCTGTAAGCTGGTGAGTTCATAGCCGAAATAGAGAGGAGGAATAGTTAGAGATGTATGGGGCCAAGACAGTTTGATCTTCACAAGATTACAGTGCAGATCATTGGCAAAAATATGAAAAATGTGGTTTCTTGAATCTTTTTCCAGTGATCTCCTCACTGGTAAATACTAAAGACATGAGAAAAGTATTCAGTTAGTTTTTTTTATTTACGAATTTTACCTGTATTTTTGTTGCAGAGTGGGCTGATTAAGCTTTACAAGATTTTATTAGAAAAAAATTATTCTTCCACAGCTATCACAACCGTGCAGTTTTTTATAATTTAAAGGAATATTTAAAAACTACTGAACGTGAGGTAAGCATTCTACTTCATTCTTCCTTGTTTCTGGTAATGTCAAATAATGTAAGTATATCCAAAGTAATGAAACATATAAATGCCATAACAAATGTTTATAAATATTTCTTTAAGTGTTGCTCAGGCAGGATTAATTACTATTAGATGTGACTTTTCAAGGAGCTGGGAAATATGATTTAGCAATGCTTGCAATCACATTTCCTGTTATTATTTATCTTTTACTTTCCCTGAAGCTATGATTGATTTTTCTCTTTTTCCTGATTTCTTTCCATGTTATTGTAATAATATGACACACTTTTGAAAGACCTTGTAACAGTGGTGAATTCATTTATTAATCCCAACAGATTTTAATCTCTCATTAAAGTTACCTAGAAAATGTCACATACCTGAAGTTTGGTCAATATAATGCAGCAGGTAAGCACATGAGGCTGTGCACTGGTCAAGTTTAGCTTGAGATGCATTGTTAGAATGCTGGCATTGAACACAATTCCTGTAAATTAAAAATGTAATTAAAAACCTATGTCTTTCTCTGCACTCCCCTTAAAGAGATTGTATCACCAGGCTGACGTATCCCTTGCACATAATGCTTTCCTGTTGTTAGTAAAAACATTGTGACATTTATTTATTTTTTTTCCTGAAATGTGATGCCTCTCTCAGCATTCTGTCCCTGTGTGATGCTTCTCAGAACCAACTAGTCAGAAGTCATAAAGTAAAACATGTCTTTGGCTTCGAGCCTCCTCCATCTAGCTCCTGTGCTCTGCATTTTGTGATGTGTGCTTTTCAGGGGGTGTAGCTAAGGGTCCAGCACCCTTTCTTTAGCTGTCAGTCCTAGTCTTTCTTATCTATCAATCTCATTGCGATACATGCCGGGACTGAAGGGAAGAGATAGATGTAGGAAACACAGCTTTGTTAACAATTTTTTGGATGCTATGTTAAGACAAAGCCATGTAAGGTCCTGCTGCTGGGCAGTTCAGAGGGTCAGCAGCACAGTGGGAGGCAGTGCTGTCAGTCTTGCCATCTTCACTTTATAGCCTTGCAAAAGATGGACATCACAAGTGATCCTGAAAAAGCCCTGACTGAATTTTTAACGAAGCTATGCCATCTTCTGAATTTATTAAAGGCACGCATTTCACAGCAACATTGAAAAAGTGTAAGCCAGCAAGGTTAACTATTTTAACTAGTGAAGTCTTAGCAGCCACCAAGCAGATATGGCCCAGCTTGTCTCCCAGTATATTGACCAAATGAGCTACAACTCAAATGAATGTGAATAAACAACAATTCTGTTTTGATGACAATTCCCTTTCCAACTAAAAGCTGATCTCTCACCCTCTTGGCCACAGTGGGATGCAGAAGATTACATTGGCTGATGGGAGGGCGTAGAAGAGCTGTGCCCAAAGACAGAGCTTCATTAACTTTTTAAACCAGCACCAGCCAGTGTGCTACTGACAGGTTCATCTAGCTTCTCTGGTCCTTGAGCTGCTCATTTTGACCTCCACGCTGTCCCCTCCTTTACACAGGTAAGGAAAAATGGCATGCTTCAAAACAAGCACAGCAAAGACTAAGTGGTTTAAAACTGAATAATGGAGAATGTTGTTCTCTAGGGAAGACCAGACCTGCTCTGTTGACCAACAGCAGTGATAATGCACAGGTGCTGCTCTTGTTCCACACCTCCTTTCAGCTAAGAAGCAAAAGGAGTGTGCAAAACCAAATTGGGAGAATTGGACTTGGTGGCATTCAAGAGTAAAATCTACAGTTGCTTTTTAAAACTCCAAATTTATGGGCTTTATTTCCTACCCAGAAGACTTCAAATTAAGAACCATCTTTTAACAAATATATGAAAAAAAAGATACGGACATGCAGTTCTCTTAATTACCAGTGTGAACCCCTCAGCTACATAGAAAAAAGTCTCAGTTATGAATTGTTTCAATTTCCTACAGTCTAAATATCTAAGAAATATAGCACACATCTAGCCAAGCAGAAATATTTCTCCTTGTTTCAATGCTACAGAGTTAAAAAAGTCAAGTCTAGCACAAGAAACATACCAGTTGTCTTCACAGGCTTTGTTACAAGTAGGGCAATATTCACACAAACGGCCAAAGCTTCTTGGATCTGTGCACTCACACTTTCCACATACACATTTTCCTCTTCCACTGCAAATCTGGCCCTTTGAATTCAGGCAGTGCTTTGCTGATTGTAACGAGCATTGGCAACGGTCACCTTCCCAGCCAGCAAAGCATTTGCATTTACCAGCTTCACACTCACCATTACCTACAACATCAGATAGCCTTGAGTCACATGCTTTATGAAAACATAGAAAGTCAGTTTTTATATGCATACATTTGTATTGGTGGTGCTTTACATTAAACAGAGATAATTTAGACCTTGGATTGTTATTAGTTTTTAAGTTAACAAATTGGGCTGAAATTACCAGCAAGATACATATTTATGGATGCTGTTTGTTGTTAAGTTGAGCAAAAGCTGCTACCTTGATGTCATCCTAAAACGTTTTACTAGAATTTTCCCTGCTGCCTTGGATCAAAGCAGTGGGGATTAAAAATTACACAATTACCAGGAAAACAAAACTAAACAAACTCCTCTTTAGCAAGAAAGCATTAAAATCAAATAAACAGCAAGATTCAGTGGAGGAAGGAGTATCAAGTTCATGTGCATGCCAGGTTGGTTTTTTTTCTTTTCTTTTCTTTTCAGAAGCACACGATAGCACTGCTTTTCTGCCTTTCTAAAGGACAGTTGACTGAGCTGGACAGGTGGATAGGCTGTGCTTATGAACTGTAGGCTGTTAAATAAAAACTTAAAATGCACAGCCTTAAGGATTCAAAGGCTACAAAGAACCTGTGGTGGCCTTTACAATCTTCCAGGCAAAACAGTCGTAGCTTTAGGGCAAAATCCATATGTTTTCCATGCTGTAGCACATTCAGACAGCTGTACAACTGACATGCTATGCTGATAATGTTTAGCCACATTTTTTACAGCGTGGGAAAGCACCTTTAGGAAATATAGAAACAGAGAGTGCATAAAGCACAGGCGACTCTCATGAGGTCTCCTTAACTCTGCTTCGGCAATAACTAAGCTTCACACAGCCTGCGATGGCCCTCCTATGCTCCAGGGATCCACAGAGCAGCTGCAGGGGCACAGTCCCATCTAACAGATGGGAACCCCTAAATGGAGTGAGGCCAAAGCATAGCCTGCCCCTTTTTTCGCCTGGGTTAGGCAAAATGGAGGGGGGGAGGGTTATAGGGATTATAGGACATCTCAGAGCAAGGCTCTGCACTGGAAAATATCCCACAAAGAGGCACACTGCTCAGCCACAGCCCCGGGCGGCAGGTTCCCCTTGGGCTACCCTCGGGCAGGACTCCATCCCATGTGACAATCTCCAACACCTCTGAGACCTCCCTGTCTCCTCTGCCACCAGGGCACCACATCTCAGGCTTTAGGAGCTTATAAGTTTGAAAGGTCTTCTTAAGGTTAAGAAATAGTAAATTTGCAAAGCTGGTTGGCAGGAGGGAAGAAGAGTGAGAAGATGAGCTGTAATTCTTTGTGTTGGAACGAAGTATTTAAAGGATCAGATAACATTATTTCTCTTCATTTTATGTAAAGTCCAGTCACCGGCAGAGCAAAACCAAAATAACTTTACTAAAGTCCACAGTATTACTCTAAATTTATCCAACTGTGGTAAAAAAATCTGGTCCCTCAGTTCACTCATGGGTGAGTATAGAGTGAAATGAAAGGATGCAGGACAGCAGTATGAATTTTAAGTTATTTAATTACTTCCAAGGGGAAAAACAACTATTCTGGTAGAGATACAGCAGTGATACTGATTCAGTCCCATTTTTCCTTAATAAGTCTAACTTAAAAGTATATGTGTTATATTTTTTTCATATGCAATTTAAATTTGTATGCTTTCTTTAAAAAACATAAAGTAGGCCACAAAAAGAATAAGAATTTCTAACAACTCTGCCTGTTTACATTTCACTTCCATTACCCTTTCTGGAGCAGGTGTTCTGAACAATGTTAGCGTATATGTCACTATTTGAAAACAAGTGTCACTGTATCTCTCGGAAGACTGATTTAGGGTGTTAGAAAATCAGAACCTCATCTGAACGTTATGATTCCTCCTAATCTCTTAACATCTCATGCCCATTAGATTGAAATGTATCAACTTACTTCCTGTAATAATTTTACTGTTTTACCTAAGATATCAGTATCATTACTTCTGAAGAAATTTGAGATTTAAATCTTAAAACAGGTCAGCTTAGAAAAAACTCCCATAAAAAGCAGCGCTGAAGTTTCGAAGACAGTGCATACGTTTGTGGTGATGAAAGCACAGGAGTGTGAATTCCTACCAGGCTGTTCAGGACATTTCACACACTAATTCTGCACACAGAATTCTTGTACATGACAGCCTTATATTATTGTTTTCAGCTGCATCATGTATATAAGGTTCAGAAAACAAAATAAAACCAAAACAAAATACAGACATAAACTCTGCAGCTTACCAGAACATAAGTTTCCCTGGTGATACGGGCAGGAAAAATCATCCATTTCACAGTACTTGCCATACACCTTGCCTAGCTTGTTTTTATAGCAGAAACACTTTCCATCTATGCAATTTCCTTGACCACTGCAGATGGGCTGGTCCTGGTGTCGTCTGCACTTCTCAGAAGGAAGCGTATCTCTATTAGAGCTACAATTACTGTCACTGCAATGGGACTGTTTGCCATCAGAAAAAGTTTCATCAGCCCATACTCTTTTGTGCCTTGCATTGTCTCCATACTGACAGGCACAGCTTTTCTGCACATTAATGATGGAGGTTTCATTGAAACCAATAGGCTTAAGTATTGCATATTTTCTTCCTCCAGTTGTATCACATGCTTTCATTGTAACCGATACATTGAAAAATACCTAAGAAGAAACAAAGACAGATTTTACATCATTATTATTTCCTACAAATTGCTTATATTTTTTAATACATAAATGAAGCAGAAACTTATATTAGGTGTGAATGTGCAATAGCTAATAATAACAGAATACACAGTGGCTCTTTGTCAAATATGATGTACTAGTAATGATAGGCATCACAAATACAGTTAAAACTCTGAGAATAGAAGACAGACAGCAGTCTACTTTGCATGTTCAGAAAGCATAGTTCCAGAAGACAAGTTTAATACAAGTTAAATAGTCATAGAATTACCATCATCATCTGCCTAATTTTATTTAATATGTACATTGTGTATATTATAGAAATACTCGAGAATTGGGACTAGATTGAGCAAGACGACACACAAACAGAAAGAGATATTCTTCATGAAAAGAGCCTATAATTAATGTTCTTGCTGCAGAAATGGTCTGTGCAAATAGAAACCACACAGGTTTTTGGGATGGCGCTATCTACTCCTACTAAAACACAGGAAGGGCTTACACCTTAGCAGCAGTTTATTTTTGCCATTCTTACAATGAGGATGGAGCAAGAGAGTGTTGCTGCTCTTGCAGTGGCCCTGGGCAGACAAAGTGCTGCTTTGGGGTGGACCCAGTGCTGATTTTTTGGCCACATCATGGCCATCACCATCATGCCCCATGACCTCACCCCAGTAGCGCCCATTGCAGCAGAGCCCCCTGCGGCTTTCCAGAGTCCTGGAACAGAACCCTGGGTCATTTTGGTGGTTAGGTGACTACCATCGAGTTTGCATCAATCACTACCAAAACTCTTTGACAGGTCTGACATCTCTGATACTTTCACTGCATAGCAATCCTTGTACTTCACGATTGGGATATTTTTTTTTTGGTTTGGTTTGGTTTTTTTGACTGATGGGCTTCTGATAGGATATTCTCACTAAGGCTATTTAGCCTGCTGACAGAAAACAACTCTTCCTGGCCTCCTCACAGAGGAAATATAAACAAGAGGAAAAGGTGAGAAAAGACCCCAAGAGAAGCAAATACTTTTACTCTTTACCACCAAAGAACAAAGATTTCCAAACAGAAAACAAACAAACAAAAAAAAAACTAAGAAACTGATTCCATACAAAGTTGAAACTACCCACAAAGACTAAGACCCTTCATTTCTCATCACTGTCTCCCCCTCCCGCTGCACCCCCACACGAGAACAGTCGAGCCCATGGTGGACAATGGTGGCTTTGTGGCAAGCGGGGCCACGGCTGCCTACACAGACGACAGGAGAAGAATGCTGTGCAGAAGCATGTGCTTCTTAATGTCGTATTGAGGGGGCACACAGCCTTTGTCTTGCCCTTTGCTTTTCCTCTTATTTCTTAAATGCTCCACTACACACATAACCCCTCAGTTGCCTACGCTCTCTGTGCATCAGGCTTCTTCCCTTTGGTTAGAGGGCAACAGTGTGGCTATGCAGGAATTAATTCCTACGGCAGGTGTGTATCACATGGGGAGGACAGGCTGCAGGCTAGAGAATGTGCTTTTTATTCAACACAGGGGCCTGCTAGAAAAGATCATCTTCATGTACAGCACACTACTGGAGGAATGGCAGGGATAGGGGAGGGAAGGGCAAATCATGACTTGCGTACGAGTTGTGAAATTTGATGGGTCTGAACACAGCAGCAGAAAGATTAAATATATTGATACTAAATAATTACAACACTGTGAACACTGACACTCACTAATAGCCAAAGTTAGTTTTGCACCCTGAAGAGGCTGTAGTATTCTTCCAGAATATAATACACTTTGTGTTTTGGTCAGAAAAGAAAGGATGAAGAATTAGACAATGAAAGGAATGTCAGAGTTAAGCAAAAGCATTTTGCCTGTAAACAAATAACGAAAGGAGGATTTACGGTTAAAATAAATTAATCTCTTGATGGCTCATTTTCAACAGCAATAGAGGTTTAGGACCACATGCAATCTTTTACAATCAACTGGCTTGGCTTTTTATTAAAAGGAAACAGATATAAATATTTTTCTTTTCATTAAACAGAACAAATTCCAGCCCGATTTCTTATGACATGCACAGGGAACAACACTGGAGAAGAGATGAGTTAAGAAGAAAAACATACCAAATCTCCCTTAAACTGTAGAAGCCAACCAGCAGCAAGTCATACACACAAAATTCAGAAGAGCATAAACTACATCTAAATGAACATATTTAAAATTCACACATTTAATCTACTGGTTTGTTTTGCTACTTCTACACACAGACACAAGTAAAATCACACCAGCTGAGATTTATGTACATGTCAAGAAGGAAAGAAGTCCTTGACCCTGCCCTCCAGAAACACAGACCTCTTCCTGGGAAGCTAAATTAATTACTCCACTAGTCCAATTAAATAAATATATGAAGGCACAGAGAAGTTGTTCTGGGAAGAAAACCATATGAGCCAGGCATCTTCCTCCTCATTTTCATGGTGCACGATGCTCCAGTTTTACGATCTGTTTCATTCAGCAGGTGGCACCAATCCAAATGGGGATAAATCATATTATTAATTTGATTCATAAAATAAACTAATTATCGACAACCCTGAGTGTGCATGAAGACTACTAGAGAAAGGAGAGGGAAAGGTGGTGTCTCATACAGACCCAAGGACCACAAATTCCAGTGATTCTTTTCTACAAGGTGATGATCTTTCAACCTCTTTATGTACAGATTTCATCACAATGAACATGGCCATTGTGCCCACTGAAGAACAAAGGAGGAGAGTTTTAATGGACGTTAGCTTTCAGGAAAAGCTTTGAGTCTTAGTTCCATGAGATTAGTGAGAATTAAAATAAGATTCAGGAAAAATAAAAACAGAGAATAATAGAGAGTCTGTGATCATAAATCACATAAATCCGTTTTCTGTTTAAGTAAATCCCTCAAAGACTTCATACCATTGAAACCCAACCAAACAGAAAAATAAGTATTCCAGTTCCTTGAAGAACAAGAACTATCAACATACTTCTTCATTATGTCCTACATTTTTACATCCTTCCATGCCAGTTTTTTTACTTCCATCAGGACAGATTGTAGTGATATTGAAATGAAGACCTTGGATCTGGTTATCCACTTGAATTTTCACTTCAGAGATTAGTTTCTGTAACCAGAAAACAAGTTTTAGTCACATTGCGTCTCAACATATAATGTGCATTAGTGACTAACACCAAGTACGGCTACTATGTCTGACTGAAAATGAAGAAAGCTTGTCTGTGTGAATAAAGGAATGAATTAAAGCATTGTTTCCCAGATAAAGACCTGATTACATTCCAAATACACACAACTAGTGAACTGGTAATTCTGATAAAGAGGATTACGTTTTCCAGATAAAAACGTTTTCAGTTTTTCTAAAATGGTTTTGAGACTGTATTTTTGGCCATTTGAAAATCTATTCTAAGAACCGTGAGCAACAAAAACTGCTTATTATTTGAGATACTACACTGCCTTTTAGCCAAACATTTAAAATAAAACAGTAAACATACATACAACTATTGCTGTCCATCAGAAAAGCTTCCTAATTGACTTGACACTTGATAAACTTCTGATATTTTGCATCTATCTTGGAAAAGTTTTCTCTGAACAAACATTTGGGTGATCTAAAGACTATTCTTACTGATTTATTTGGGTCAGCTAGGACTATATAAGTCAACAACTGGTTGATTCCCCATAGAGCTTTTTACAATATAAAATAATGAAAAAACAGCTACTTTGTATTTACTGCATGCTCTCAAATCCTACTTCCTTCCAAGAAGGAATATTGCATACTGACCTTTTAAAAATTTATTAAAGCTCTGTATAAACTCATGAGCTGAAAATTGCACAAAGAGATTATTAAAATTCCTGTCATATTAGTATTTTAAAAATTAGTTTAGTGGGGTATTTTTACCACTACAAATGTAAATTTAATTACATGAATCTGAACACATGCTTATCTTGGTAACTTTCTGAAAATTAGTGACTCATCTTTGGCTTTTTATCCAGGGTTTTTCAGCCAGGGTTTTCCACAAGTAAGCCTAAGGCTTCCCTGCCTAGAAGAAGAGTGCAAGAGGCCCACTGTCATCAAATATCAATGCAAAATTTATTTTCTTATCTAAGTACTTTTGCTTTCAAGAAAACAAAACATTCAAGCCCTGTTCACTGTGCGTTTGTACATTACAAGCCCCTAAAACTAGTATAAAAATCTCAAAGTATCAAATCCAATGACATTTAGGATGGGAAGGAAGATACTGTCTAAAAAATGAAAATAAGGCAAGAGCAAACTGGGGGTGGCTGGAGCAGGAAAGTCCCACAGAATCTTCCATTGAACTAAATCATTATTTTGTGAATTTTCATTTCCTCTCCTTGAATGTTTGCCCTACATTGTGCTCTAAAAAACAGGATACAGTTTAGGATGGACAGTGTAAAAGTGGCACAAAAACGGACTATGATCTTCAAAAGTTTTTGCCAGCAATTTCCTGCAAACTGCCATATTCAAAATTAGATTTCTCGATTTTATAAGAGAAAGTACAAAATCAGTGAGAACTTCTCTGCAATTTTATTACACCTAACTTCCTCTGCTTTTGATCATCTTTGCCTTTTGCACAATGTTTCCAACATGACAGTGAGAAAAATGTGCACAAACCCTCTCTATTGACTAGGAACAGACATGGGACTTAGCTGTTCATTGTAGCCAATTTGCTGAAAGCAAGTAACCTGATTTAGAAGGTTAACCTAGTATAACAGATAATTTCAGCCTCCCATGTCTAAGTAATGAAACACAATGTGATACATGCTGATACCTTGCATATAGCTTTTTAACTGATTTTTCAACTTTTGGAACTTGCATGGTTGTGTAACTTGCACACCTTAACACCATTCAACCATCTAACCCATCACATTCATTTCGATGCTGCTCTGCAGGCTCCCTGTGCTCTAGTACATCAAATGTATACCACTGGGCTTAATTTCCAAAGGTGTTTATGGCCCCTCTTACCAGGCTATCTATCATGCACTATCAAGATGCCAATTTCCACTTTCAAGCTGCCATTCCCTGTCATTCATTTGTGGAAAATGACTTGATGCTCTTTTCCATACTACTGTTTTCTCTTTCCCATGCTATTACTTTCAGTTGAGAACTACAGGCAAGAGTTCACAAAGCCATTTCTGTTCTCTTCTCAAATCCCTATCACGACTCTACTGCTTTGTGCAGTGTAAACCCTGCTTTCCACAATATCCACTGTTGTCAGACTACCTCCTTGTAAATTCCCACCTGTCATCCATTTTCTAAGAATTATGCTGTAAAACCCTCTAGATACTGCACTGTCTTCTTGCTCTGAATTTATATGGTGCCTAGAGAGTGGTGTCTGCTCTGTAACTAAAGATTTGAGATGTCAAAATTCAAATAAGTCAGACATCTCTTTTGAAGTTACATGACAACAGGTGCAGAGAATCAAACAGCATATTTAGAAGCATCCTTAGAAAGGAAAAATTGCTAGCTCTTGGCTTTGAGACCCTGACAGCCTGGGAAAAGGCAGATGGGAAAGCTACCGTGGGATAGTGTCACCCACTGACTTGGACTTCAGAAAAGTAGGTAACTTATCCTGGTGGACTCAGAGAGAAGTCAAGATTCTGGAAATTCCAACTTTAGGCTATGAAAGGTGAAAAATCACTGTACAAATACAGCATACAACATTGCCACTCTCATCATACCTGATAGGCTTCTACCACCAAATCATTGAGATTTGCTGCTTGTGATTCTATCTGTCTTGCAACAGTACCAGGCAACAGAGGTAACAGATCCTACGAAAAATACAATCATTTATGCACAGTTTTAATTTTTAATATAAATATTGTGCTTTCAAAATAAAAAATAAATCAGGTTTCTAACCTACTTTATACCAATGGAACTGGCTTCCCTGAACCGCAAAAATAACATTGATGTTATTGTCAACAAGTTTTTCAGAGAGCTGCCCAAGAGATGGATGCTCCTGCAAAATACATCAGAAAAGAGAAGACTGCAGATTAGTAGGGAAAAAAACTTATATTTCACATATGACACAATGCAGGATTCCAAAACCACCCCAACCCTTATTTCTAAATGTACAGAGAAATGCTAGGCCTACATCCAAAAAAAGGTGGAACCAACCAAATAACCAGATTATGACAAAAAACCCCCCAAAAAAACATCAGGGCACCAGCCAGACTGTGACAGGCTTATCTGTTGCCAAATATGCATGGGTGCTGCACAGGGGGACTAACTTTTACAGTACTATTTTTTTTGTTTTGAGCCTGATGCTTAAGAAATATGATGTTGTCCATGGTTCATATAGAAGAATAACAAGATTTGTGAGAATGACAGGTGGGTTCTTGTGCAAAAGTCAGAGACAAATTACAAGATTAGGGCACTGACATGAGGTGTGCTTTTGAGAACAGCGAGGTGAGTAATTATAAGTTTGTTTCTCAGAAATGTATTTTGGCACCAGGGATCAGACACATCATCTCGATGTAGCCACTGGGTCAGGTTCTAGCAATGTCAGTATTCTGTACATATCTTACGGCTGACAGCTTTCTCCTTCTCTGTATGTGCAAGACCTGCCTTGGGAGTGATGCCTTCAGTCCTCACCTCAATAACCTGCTACATTTTGTTAACATGGTTGTGCTTGAAGAACATAGCATGATTTTCATGTCTCTCCACAGTAATGACATTGCTCTATTTGGTGAAGTACCTGTCACGGCATGTCCTCTGCCAGTGACCCACCATTCCACACCTCTCAGTGAGAGATCTGACGGGTTCAAGAACAAGAGGTGCATTGCTACCTTTTAATCCAAGATCTGGGGAAGCACAAGGGTGTCTGTGTGGTCCCAGTGGGCTTTGTACACCTGGGCTATGTGAGATCCCCCCAGCTCTAGTACTCTAAACCAAACTGTATCTGAAAGTCTCCGCTCATTTACCATGTATCTGTGAATGCTTCTCAGGAAGTAAATTCAACTCTTAAAATTAATGACTAAACATAGAGAAGTGACTGGGGCCTTGGCCTGTGTTTCTCCTTGCAGAGATTTAATCTGAACACCTCCACTTATGTCAGATCCTTCAACCTCTTTCCCCCGTATACCTCTATTGTCTTTCTCTTCCTGATATTTTTCACCATCTGCCCCATATTATCACTCTGTTGCACAAACACACTCTGTTTCCCTGCACAATCCATTTCTCTTCATAGTGTCACTTGCTACTCAAGGCACCCACCCTGCAAGTCAGCTGCTCTCCTAACTGTAATCTGAATGCCAAGGCAGCTGAGACAAAGTTACACAAGGGGGCAAAAATCCGTTTTCCATCATATGGCACCATTATAAAGAGCCTTGTATAAAAAGAACAAAGGAGATTCTTGCTGCAGTTTGAGCTTAGTCAGTGTCCACACCTCTCAACTTTCCTACCCTTTGGTAAGAGATTATATTCCTTAAAATAAGTGATGAAAGTTAGCAATAAATGGGCCTTCCTACCTCTGCAGCTGGGGAGCGTGCCATATGCAAGGGTGCAGGGAGCGTGCATTCCCACTACACAGCAGTTGGGGCCGGAGTGCAGCAGTAGTGGCTTTGCTGTCATTCTCAATAGCCTGTAACACAGTACTACAGCCTCCTGCCTTCTCCATGACCACAGACCACAATGGTGGGGCCTTCATTGTGCTGCACAATCCTACAGGCCAGGTAGATCCCAGACACACCAAGTGGTCCCAGGACACCAGCAAGTGAAGCCAGATGTTCGGCAAATACCTCTTGCTCTATAAATGTGTGAAAGACGGGGGCGGTGTTGAGGGATTGTGAGATGGTGGTCAAATATGTCAGTGTTCCTGCTTAACACGTGACACTAGACAAGTCTGAATTTCAGCAAAGTGGCCCTTCAACATCTCTGCAACTAATTGCAAACCTCTGGGATCAGTGGTATCAGAAATAGGCTTCCAAGCCTTAATGAAACAAAAACTTATTCAGATGGAGCTTACTGAAGTCAAGAGATGACATGCAGAGATGTGCAAGGGTTGCAGGGACTAGATCCTCACACTACCTAACCTGCTTACAGGTATACTTGTCAGCTCTAACTTACTAGAGTGTCCAGCTTGGTTAGTAGTACATTAAAATCTCACTTCAGATTAGAAAGAAAAAAAAATATTTTTATTAGAAGAGACTTTAAAAAGAGAATCAACAGGCCGACACTATCTTTTTCATTTTAAGCACGTAAAGAGATGATATAAAGAACTGTTGGTCACTCATGGAGCCTCATTTTGCTTGTTGTAAAAACCTTCCTGTACTTCATGTATTTTTATCTTATCTCTTCCCACTACTGCTCAGGTGAATGTATTTTCATTTTAGATCATCTTTCTTGTTCCAGTTACATCATTCATTTTATTATTTTAACCTACTGTGTTAAGCTGAGAACTAATACAGATGTTAAGTATTTCAGAAAGGGAGTTAACCAAGCACAGATCTAATTAAAATGGACTAGATTTCTTTCCTGTCTTTTTTGCTGACCTCTGCATGACTGCTTAGCAAAAGTTAGAACAGGCAGAAAAGTGACTAACCGGAAACACTTCTGATGTAAAGGTTAAGCTTATGCAAATAAATAAAGCAAAGTAATCTTAATTGGCACAAGAAAAAAACAAAAATATGCCAAAATGCAATCTTCTCAAGACTACCAGAAGCTAAGAATCAAAGTAGGAAAATAATGTGATTACAGATGGCTCTTTAATTTAGCATAGCACAACAAAATTACATTGATAAGGAAAGAAAAAAGCAAAAATATCATAGAATCACAGAATTGTTTAAGCTGGAAAAGACCTTTAAGATCATCGAGTCCAACCATAAACCAAGTCCACTGCTATACCATGTCCCTAAGTGACATCTACATGTCTATGTTTCATATGATGTATTTTTTAAAATGCTGACAGCCTTTCATTACATTTAATTTAAATATCAAATAGTCTTTTTTCCCCCTGAATTTATTTGTTCATTTGAAGTTTCTTTATGGATCTTTATGACTAAAATAATCACAGGCTATATACCACTGAAAAGAAAAAAAAAGCAGGCAGTTAATACACCTACCCTTGCAGACACTATAGTGTTATCTCTACTCCAGAAAATATCTACTATTGAGGAAGATTTCCATTCTAACCCTTTTCTGTTACTAAGTCCATGCCCACTATTACACGTGGGCATGCAAGAACTAGACCATGGTTGAAAGCCAAATGCACTAGCAGCCAGAAAACACATGGGCCAAAACATGCCACTACAGATCTAAGCATCTTTCAAGGTCATTTCATCTGGGTGGCTAAAGAGACCACCTCATTTTACAAAAGGTCAGTAGCAATAATAACGGAAATTTCTTATTCTATATGGGACAGTAAAATCATGATCTTTCAGCCCAGAATCCAGAAAACATTTTCTTCAGTCAGCCATCAATCTGTCACAGTTCCTTAGAAAGAGATCAATTGATTTTGTGTGTATGTTATATTTGTGAAGTTTTCCAGCTGAAACAGAAGTCAATTTCTCAAGTTGGGCAGAAAATAAATACAGGTGGCAATACAGGTGGCTTTTTTTTTTTTTTCCTTCCTGAAACAGACAACATCTTTATTGTTAAAGGAATCCTGAACACTAGAATAAGTTTTGTACCTTCAGCCACTGTTAATAAGCAGAGCAAAATTATTCTCATTTGTAGCACTAAAATTAAGAAAGAAAAAAAATAGAGGTAGGGACACCACAACCCGTAAGTATGCTATGCTTTGGGAAAGGAAAGTTTTGGGATTATTTGCTTTAAGTAGAATAAAGGAAAAGGTTGTTTTTATTCCAGGGACACTGTAGAAACTCAACAGAGTAGCTAGAAGGAAATAAATAATCCTGACATCTGTGAGGGAATATCCAAGAGGTGACAGAGGGAGTATATGAATGCAAGAACATCATACGATCGGAAATCCAAACAACCTTCCTGTTAGCACACGTTCAGCTCCCTCCTCCGCTCAGCAAGGTCCCGAACACCCATCGATTCCCAGAAACCTCCATATTTCACTATCCCACACCATACGGCAGCTCCTTCCTGCTGCCCTGCCATCCTGGTAAACACCACGTGCTGGGATTAAATTCAGGTCTAGCCTAATTTACACTGAGCACCACTAGCACATTACTGGTTTAGGCTGAACACAGGCTACATACTTTAAATAAGTACAGCTAGCACTAAGAATAAAACTGTAATGTGCTTTAACAATAACACAGTTCATATTTCTTTTTTCTGACGATTACAGGGCAATTAAGTAGTGATTCATGTTTCTAAAATAAATTATTCATATTTATTTAAGGAAATAGGCAAAGCAATTAAAAACTACAAATCCTAGACAGAAAAATGCCTGTCTTCAATCATTCATGACTACTTTATACATTTTTGAAGAAATTATTTTGAAAGCTAAAAATATCTGTTGAAGGCATATTATTTCACAGCAGATCTGATGCAACTTTTTGATTAGGCATGTATTACCACACACAGGTTTTATACTGTGACATTCAGATGTATTTAATATTACCACAGCAAAGCTTTGTGGCACAAGAATATTTTCTAGTACATCGTGGTTGAATTAGCTCATTGCTGTTGTACGTCTTCTGTTTTACTGTTAGCAAGCCTTTTCAATCAACACAACTATGCATCTTCCACTACCTTAGTCTCATTAGCAGGATATGCATGTAAGAATTGCTCATCATTATGAAATGGTAATAAAAAACCACACCAAACCCAGTCACATTCTCCTCTGCTGTATCTCAGACTCCAAAATACTTTATCCCAGCCAAAAACAATGTCAATATTTTCTGGTGATTGATTCTTCATTTCACATCTTGCCTATCTAGGAAAATACTATTGTAGTAACTGAATTAAAAGCAATGCTTTGTCGGCAATCTAAACACCTAATTTATCCAGTTTTACACTGCTTCTCTGAAGGCAAAATACATGACATATACCTTACCATACTTGTAGCTTTGATGTACACATTATCTTTCAAATGACAGTTTCCATCATGGGGAATTACGATCCCTGCTAATTTACTATCAAGGGCCAGATGGGAAGTTTGATCTGTCATCACAAGAAGCAGTCGCTTTGCTTCTTTGCGCCATCCAATATGGCTCTAAAGAGGAAAACAAAATTAAGCATAAGAAAGCAGGAAATACCTATTTTCTAAAATAATAAATGAAAAATGAATGTGAAAGTCTGCTTTCAGATATCACACTGCTTTGCAGAACTGTTTCAAACAGATTATTTAATGTATTTTTGTTGGAAACATACTTCATATCCTACATCTGAAAACTACTACTGTAAATGAGAGATTCACTTACTACTTTCTTTACTTTTTAAAGAAAGATCTCTCTAAAATATATAGAAGTTATGTGTTATATAGTGGGCTTGGATAACAGCTGCCACATCGTGTGTGTCACTATTACATACAAATGCAAATACATAGCATTTGTGTAATTCTCTGGGATACAAAAAGCATCACAACCAAAAAATATGCATTTATTTGTATTGGTACTTGGTGCCCTCTTCTATTTTTACTTTATATTTATTTACTTTATATTCTCATAATTCTATAGTTTTCTTTTTCTACATGGCTTTCCAGAAAGGACATTGGCATGTGATCAACCAACAAAGTAAAGTTTAAGTGTCTTCATGCACTTGCAAATTAAGAAATTTTTTGTTATGTAGCAAAATATTACATCTATCCACTATCCCAAGGGATTAATAGCAAAGTGGCATGCGCAGGGGCGAATTTAATGTGTTTCAGGAATTCAGTGATGTGAAGGAGGTAGCAGGGCAAACTTATATCTAAACTGGGTTAGGTGCCAATTTGTATTTCCATAACATTTATTTCCCTGCAGGAAATAAAAGGCTGCTTCAAATCAAAATTTAGAGGCATACATGAATCACCTCATAATCTTTTTCATCATGTGCTCTCTCAATTATTCCATCTTCTTTTTCACTAATTCAAGTTTTCCTCCTTTTTTTGTCCTTCCTTGCTCCTCCTTTCTACAATGCTGTCTCACCTCTACCATCTTCCTTAACACTGCCAGGTATCGTTCCTCTCATGTGAAACATGTATCTGCAATACAGTCCACGTACTCAGCCAGGCTTCATCACTTACTCTCTACCTTCTTTTCTTTGCTTTGAGGAGAGAGATTTTGCTCCTTTCTCAGGCTCCTTCCCTGCTAGCTCTGAATGGGGAAAGA